TGTGCTACGCATGAGCAGCATGTCACCTTCTTCAGAATCTCCACTTAGAAAATCTTCCTTTCAACACAATATGGTAAAGTACACCTCCCACATTTTTTTCTTTGTGTTAGAATTTAATTAATCTGTTCAAATTTCTTTTAGTTCAGTTTGAATAGCTAGAAACTAGTAGTAGACTGGGAGAAGCTAGACTCTTGTCTGCATATCCCAAAAACTAAATTTGTATTGGTATAAGCTAAATCATTCTTAACTTCCAACACCTAAAATCAAGTTTACCCTGTTGCAAGATATGAGTTAGGATCTAGCACTTTGGCCTACTCTACCTTAACTTCAACACCTAAAATTAATTTCACCTTGTTGCAGGATATGAGTTATGATATAGTGCTGCGACCTTCATGCATTACGTATTATGTTGTCTACCATTAACGGACATAAATAAATCATGTGTTTTCTGTGACAGGAATATGATTTATGTGTACGTGTAGTGTACGGAATAGCATGTAATGATATTTTGACAACATGAGAAGACTATGATCATCATTAGTTTCCGAGATATTGTAACCAGTTAAAACGAATGTAGGGAGAAATGGTTTTTACCAGCTAAATATCCTTAAAGCTAATATTCATCTAGTTTGAGTTTTGCTAAAATATTATAAATGTGAACTATGTATACAGTGGTTTGACAAAATATTTGCAAGCAAATATCATTCAGTTGGGTGCTTTTGAAATTCAGCTATGCCTCTCAATATGCACATCCGTGTATATTATATGGTGTTTGGTTTGGGTTTTTTTGGGGTATAAGCTAGTTTGAAGTACAAAAGTTTGTTTTAGCCATTTTGGCTTGCAAGGGGAAAAAGGCTAGAAAGGGTAGTTTTTTTTTTTCTTTGGCTAATAAACTATGCGAGAAGGCCTATTAGGATTACTAAATTTTTGTACATGTGTTATGTTTAGTAATTTCATCTACATTTCAGCTTAGAATCACTTATTTTTTTCTAGGGAGGATTGGTAAGTGTCTAAAATCATATTGAGTCCAAATCTTTCATGTTATGTCGTGGTGTTACTTCAATGTGTTATTGTTACTTTCAGATCTTTTGACGGGTCTATATGAAATGTTAGTTTATCAATATCATACAACTAGCTTATCTGTTTTTGAAGTTAAACTTAAACTTATCTGCAACAAATCTTAACCATTAAACAACTAACAAAGTAATATGTAATTTTTCTTATTACTGAATCTAAGGGTAAGAGAAATTATGTTATCATATTTTTATTTTGAACAAAACATGATAGATTTTCCCTCATTTGAAATATATGATGTGTGGTAATCAGTGTGAGTCATTGATTTATTATATGCAGGTTCCTCACCCCAGTAGAGCAAATTTGGGAGGCCTTGGGAGTCCATCACGTTTTGCTCCTACTGGTCAACAGAGCCATAGTGGAAATCTAGCAGCAGTATCTGTCTCTGGAACAAATTATATTGCATCTTCTCCTTGCCCTGCAGCTTCTGGTGGCACTTCTGTTTCCAGAGATGCTGGACTACCAAGCCCATGGAATTAGTTAGAAAGCTTTTCGACATTACATCCATTATGTCACATAATCCAATTTCTATATCTCTTTAAGACTGTAAATTTGACCTTACTAACTAAAAAAAGATTTAGTTTAGTTGGAAAAGAAGGAAGGATTGAAAGGCTTTGTTTTTCTCTTTTTCTTTCTTTACCCTTTTCCGATACAAGAAGCACTATTGAATACAGGAATGCTTCGGTTCTGATATTAATGTGGCTGCTTTGACTTTTCATCTTTTATAACAATTAAGCATAAAAAAGGACTCTCAATTATTACAGATAATAAAAATCAAGTGTTTGTCTTCATCCCAAGAGTTGAAAATCTATCTTAATACCTATTTTATAGTAATGGGAAACCTATCTTCTGTTATAGGAATTTCATTTTCATTTTATCTGAAAAAATTCATTTTTTCCTCAAAAAATATTTTTGTCATTTGCTCCAATAATGTCAGACAAGAATATATTGATAAATATTGATAACTCTTACGCACAGTAAGGTAATGAATTATTGATTTTAAATTATTTATTGCGATGAATCAATAATTCAAAAATATTTTTTTCCTTATTCTTAATAAATCCACGTTTAGTAGGATGATCAGTTTGGAAAGTAAGAAGTTCATTTGACATTTTTTCATTTGTAAAGAATACTCGGAGTAAAAAATTATTTAAATGTATTATTTAATTTTTAATATATTTAAATAAATTTTCAATTCAGTTCTCTCATTTGAAGTCTCTCATTTTTAATATATATATATATATATATATATATATAAAGAATAAGCAGAGAACGAAACCTCGTAGGTAATATTTAATAAATAATATAAATAAATAACATAAAAATAAAATAAGAGATAGTCTATAAATTTTTATTACTTTTTTTATGATTTATATTTTTTATCTGAAATTTTTTTTGTATTTTTAGCTAACCCTTTCATTTATTTTTAGGTTTAGAATGAATTAGAAAATTTGAATTTAAATTTTTTAATTTCTTGCTAATTTAATGTTTAATTCACACAATAGTTTTCATAAAAGGCGGTACCTAATCCTAAATAGTGGACAAGTCAACGGTCAACAATCATGACTTCCCATTCCCTTCAGCTCTCCACAGTAGAAGAAGACAGCTCTAGATCTTTCCCCTCACCGTCCTTATCCAATGAACCCCATGAATTCCCTGATCATCGTCTCCCCTTCCTCAAACAATACCCTAAACAAATATGGCCAAACCCTCCTCCTCCGCAGCCAAAAAATATATATACACATAATATGGAACACCACACCCACCACATGCGCATGTTAGCATCGTCCCCACCTTAACCCACCATTGAAGAGCTCCATCAACATAAGTCTCCCAATCTCTAAAAATTGAGTCTTCATCACAAAGTACATAACCCCAAAAAGCACCATCGCCATAATCCACCTCCATCTACTACATACATACATTTGGAAGCTCCATCCATGAATGTTTCTGCTGATTCCGACTCTTCCTTCTTTTCACTCATCAAACCCAACCCCCAAATCCATCAGGAAAGAGTAAGCAGAACAACAAAGGATGAACCCAAAAAGGATCCCGACAAGAAGAAATTGCAGAAGGAGCAAGTGAGGGGAAAACAGAAGCAACGAGTGAAGGAAGGTACAGGTGTGAAGAGAATTTCAAGGAGATCATTGTATGGCACTCAGGTGGAGTTAGCAGATATTCTTGCCAGCTGCGGAGTCGAAATTATTTCAGTTGATATGCCACCATTTATGCAGATCCAAGCGGTTGATTGTGCGAGAGAGACATGATCGTCTTGAAAAGCTCACTTCCAAAACCCTTGCTCTCGCTCTCAAGAAGGTAACCAACGCTTTATTTAGTATTATTATTATTATTATTATTATTATTATTATGCTTTTACCATTGTATTATTCTTATTTATTTTTTGTATGGAATTTTTGTTGGAGTTTTGAATTTCTATTAATTCAAAATTGATAACTTGGTATGTGTTTAAATAGGTTTAGATAAAAATTAATATTTTAAGAATAAATTATCACTAAATATATAATATTTAAAAAATAAATATAAATTAAATTTTTTAAAGATAAATTCTAACTACATGACATGGATCAGTGAGAATCAAATCTAATTTTATTTAATTATAAATTAATAAATAAAATTAATTATAATTTTAAGAGGTTATGGCTGGACTGGCACTCTATTGCAGTTACAAGTTTTGGCTCTTTTGTGACTCATTCGCTTGGTGGGTTTATTATGTATTCTAACATGGATAGAAAGTTGTATATCCTCTTGTTTAAAACAACCGTAGAAAGAGCTGATTGAATTTGGATCATATGGAAATTAATATCCAAAAAGAAAAAATGAAAAACCCCATATTCCAACACAGCAACTTGTGTTACTATACAGAAGGATGAATAGGAAGAAGAGTATATGGAGATTTCTGTCCCTCTTACTTTTTTTTTACTCCTACTTAGTATTAGCAATAGGATTGAACTACTTAGATATTTGTAACTTGTCGAAATAAGAAATCATGACAAATATGTTCGGATTAAATTTTACTTTGAGAAAGCTGAATAATTATTATTTTGTTGAAAAATTATATTCATCTATTATTTCTCAACACATTCTGTTTTGTTGAAGGAAGGAACCTTGATTTATGTGTTCGGATTAGATTTCATTTGAAGATAATTAAAAAAATATTGTCTCGTTAAAAGATTATAATCATTTATCTTATCTCAACATTAGATAAAGATTCTGTTTTTTTCTCTTTTGGAAGGTAAATATCTCTCCAACACGAAATGTGAATCAAATTTATGTTTGAATTGAAATTGAAAAATTAATGAAAGTTTTTTGTTTTAATCATATCTGAAAGATGTTAAAAATAAGTTCATTTAAAATTGATTATTTGTTTATCCATTTGAGATGTTACAAAAATATTTATAATCTAATATATAACTCTGCGAACTAATGGATCAGATTTTAATTATTTACATGTTCTACATATACTTATCATTGTCCTTCTTGTTACTCTCTTTGCTTGAAACAATACCATTTGTTAGAACAAGTTTAATTTTTATTGATTTCTTCTTTGTTAGATTATAATGAATCAAATGCATTTAACCTGCAAAAGATATGAATGTCTGTAAAGCAGTACTTTCCATGAATCTAACTGCCAAAATGGGAAGACAAAAGTGAGAGTAGCAGAGCATTGATTAGATCTTGGATTTTTGAAAATTTAGGAGTTATGGGGTATAACAAGAACCACTTCTTCAAAAATATTATTATTATATAAAAATAAGGGATACGACTCACTTTTTTATTATAAATTTTATAGTAAGAGTGAAATGTTATTGAGTCGGGCTTATTATTTAATTATTCTACTATTTGATTTGTTAATTAGAGATAACATGTAAAGGCTCGTAACGTAAAAGAAAATAAAATTATTAATTAAATACGAAAGTGAAATAATAAAATTTAACGTTTACATTCCTTACATAATAATTTAGAATATCCAATAAATATACGAGAATAATATTTTAAAAAAATTACGAAAATCAAGTAAATAAACAAAAAATCAATAATTGAGCATTTTAGGATGATTTTTATTAATTTTTGAAGGGAGTCCGGGTGGTAAACTATTCACAATCAACTTGTTGATCGGGATCTGGGTCTTATTTTTTTTATCTGAAATAGTTAATAAAAGAGTGAGCTATACTAATCCAGTAAGAATATCGTAATACTCATCGATACAGAAATTAAATGTTGGTAAAAATTATAAAAATAACAAATATAGCTCTTGATTTAAGTAAATTTATTTATCATAAAAAATTATTTATTGTATATATTTACCGTTTGTGAGATTTCTAAAATCGACCTATAAAGACAATAATCCAAATAACATTCTAATCTTATTTTCAAGTGAGAAAAAAATAGTAACTTTTCTTCTTTATTTGCCTATTAATATCCTTAAGGGCCCATAAGGATGTCCCACTTTGCGTGAATTATTATTCAACATTGTCAACTAATCGGTCATCTCTATACCCTGTCCAGTATGAGCGCCAAGAATACCATCCCTCAATACCTCGTCCGGTATGAGGGTGAAATGGATCATCCCTATACTTAGTTCAATATGAGCGCCAAAAATATCAATCATCGATACCCCGTCCGGTATGAGGCAACGTTCACGATAGGGTTTCCTATGTACCTGGTCCGTCTACCGTCTCCCATGATATTCAGTAAGGCTACAATTCATTCATTCACTTAATCAATTAATTTTTAATTTACATTTAATTTTCAGTTTCATAATTTAACTGTAAATCAACGCAAGACAAACAATACATGCATTAAGAAAATACAGTTAAATTATTTTACCAATTCCAATATATTATCATGTATTTAAAGTTGTAAAATCAAACAATCGGTTAAACGGGACAAACAATAATAAATAATCGGTTCTAGCTCTATTAGTAATATGTAATTAATTCTCGAAGTTTTTTAAAATATGCAAAATATCGTATTATTGATAATTAAACTTTAATTCCATAATAGGGAATAAGTTGAGAGATTTTTACCCGAATCGGTGTACAAAATACCAAACTTTCAACTGTGCCTACCGGTGGTCCTCGAATTTTTTGAATTTTTCTCGAAAGTTAAAACACGCTTCACGTATTTAAAAATATCTCAAAAAATTAAAAGTGTGTCAACGAGTTAGTGCACTTGTCACACGACACTTTCCGGTTCATCGGGACTATTGATTGGGCGGTCCTACGTGGCGTAATTTTTTTTAATTACGTTTCGATCCCCAATTTCTGATTTTTCTTTCAAAAATACCACTCGAACCCAAATTTTCACCCATTTTTTTCAAAATTATTTTTAATTTCATCATACACCTATTTTTTGCCTAATTTTACGTTAAATAAAAATTTATAAATTTAAAAATTTTATTTTTATATATTTTTTTATTTCTAAAATTAATTTCAGGCCAAATTCTAGACTCGGGTATTATAACTCTCCCCCCCCCCTTAAAAGAAATTTGATCCCTCAAATTTGTCTCTCTCTCACTCAATCAAACAGTTGATGATACTGGGCTCTGAAGTTTAATTCTAGCTCCCATGTGGCCTCTCTGTATGTGTTATTTTAGCAGGACCTTAACGAAGGGGATTTTTCGGTTGCAGAATACTCTGCTCTTTCGGTCCACAATACCCACCAGTACCTTCTCAT